TCTTTCTAACACACTTTTATTGACTGAAATGTATTTGAAATCCCAAAGTTTGGTTGGTCTTGATTTTCATTTAATGAATCTCTCAATTTAGTAGTGAGATGAGATCCACTAAAATTTGATGAGTTTCAACTAATAATAAAGAAAGTCTTAGAGAGTGTCATTAGCATTTTCCTTCTAAAAATATAAAACATTTGTTCTTAGAAAGTCTTAGAGTGTTGTTACTTGAAACATGTTTATGTTGTATTGATCCTTGTCTATGTCAAAACCTGTCAAACTAACAACGGAAAATTCTTGCAGCCTTCTTATATGTTCACTGATAAGGAACACCGAGGGACATTTGAGTTTGCAGATGAACTTGGAAATCTATCTATTAGTGCAGAATCCGGAGAATCTGTTGTTCCAGCTCAGAGAGTGGAAGCAAATGACAAGGATCTGCTTCTAGGTACTTCAGAAAAAGATGAAGGAAGAGATCCTGGTAGCAATGGTTCTGCCTATTATGCTCCTTCCCTTAATGGTTCATCCGCCCCTTCTGCAACTTCACAACCACTTGCAGATTTGGCATTTCCAACTACTGGCATATCTAGTCAAGCTCCAACTTCTAGCTTGGCAATCGATGATCTTCTTGGTTTAGGTTTTCCAGATGGAACTGCAGCTACGCCTTCACCTCCTCCATTGAACCTAAATTCAAAAGCTGTACTGGATCCTGGCACATTTCAGCAGAAATGGCGTCAACTGCCAATATCTTCATCAGAGGTTTGCTTTGAAATTATCAGTTTCATTAGTGTGATAACTTTGGCTAACAAATATGTACTTAATTTGAATGCATTGTCATTATAAAAAAAATTACAATACCATTCAATGATGTGTTGCCACATTATTTAATGAATTTGACATCTTACAAGTTGTTAAGCTTATTAAATAATGTGTGGCACCACATATTTGGATGATATAGCAAAACGGTAATATACTAATTTTCATTTGTAATGCATCAAAAATTCAAAATTGAACTATAGAACTGTTCTGTTATCTACTCTTTTTTTTTTAGGGGTCTCCCCTAACCAACAAAAGTGTCGAGAATGGTTTATATGTGGTATATAATTCATAAATCTGGTACAGGAACATTCTTTAAGTCCTCAAGGAATCGCATCACTGACAACTCCCCATGCTCTCGTGCGGCACATGCGAAGTCATTTGATACACTGCATTGCATCCGGTGGTCAGTCTCCCAACTTCAAGTTCTTTTTCTTTGCTCAGAAAGCAGAAGCAACATCAATATATCTTGTAGAGTGTATAATCAACACATCATCAACCAAGTCACAGATTAAAATAAAAGCTGACGACCAGAGTTCATCCCAGGCATTCTCAACATTGTTCCAATCAGCCTTGTCCAAATTTGGTTTATCTTGAAACTTTATGGTGCATCCTTCAGAGATGTGGAAGTGGAATAGGCACTCATGCAATTTTGGAATCCTAGATTGAATTTACAAGGAAATGGAGGATATCGGCTCTGTAACCAACCCCCGCCGGGAAAAAAACATAAAAGAAAATTCAGATAGGTGTATTACAGAAAATGCAGGGGATTCCATTGGCTAAAAGATTTTGTAGTTGTTCTGTATCCAAATCACGTGATGATCATCAAATATTCAGTTGTAGAGAACCTAGTCTGCGTTGTAAGTTTGTAGAGGTTTTATGTTTATTTTCTGACATATTTTTCAAGTGTTCATCGTTGTCTGTTCTGTGGGTCATTGGCATTGGTTGACTAGGGGTTGGTAATGAAATGTGAAACTGGACCCTTTATTAATTAATTGCTTTATACACCATGATGCTCGATGCCTGTAATATTATTGCTAGTTAGTTTGCATTCGGTGATTTTCGAGGTCTTTTTTTTTTTTTTAAAGATTAAATTACCAAGTAAGATTTTGAATTATTTTAAAATTTTTAAGTAGGTTTTTAAACTATTTTTTAATTTCCTAAAGTAAAAGTAGGTCGTAGAAAAAATTTTAGTTCAAATTTAACTCATTTAATTTATAAATCAATTTATTGCTCCTTCAAATAAAGAAATTGACGAAAAGGAAAAAAAAGCAAACGTTATGTCCTTCAAATAAAGGAAGTTGTCGAAAAGGGAAAAAAGTGGAAACATTATCAAGAACAGACATGTCAAATAATATGTAACAGTTACGGTTTCAATATTTCATAAATTCAGCAAGTAGTATGAGATCAATATCCATACAATAATTGGTTTGCTCAACAAATTATATATTATATCTTAGAAACAAATATTCTCAATTATCACTTCTCGTCTAAAAGCTAATTTAAAACGAACTGGAAACACACTTCTGTGAGCTATTGTTGCCCTGAAACATTACACAGAGATATTGGATGGTTTAAACAGAAGTCTTTGTTCTTGTGTGTGAAGGAACATACTTGTTTTAGTTTTGGAAAAAATGTCTAAGCCAGAAAGTTAAACTAACATGTTAGAGGCGGGGGAACGAGAAACAACAGTTAATCCGGCTAGTGATTTCCCTTTTATTTATTCAATCATTATTTTTATTTTGAGCGGCTATTTCGAGGTACATGTGACATCTTGGGATACTTGAAATGTTGACCTCGGGTCGGATGTTTATATTTTGTCTGTTTTAATTCAAAATGCAGCTTTATATTTAATTGGTAAATATACTTTCTGCGTGCGCGAGTGTTTAGCAATAGCAGATAACATTGAAGATGAGGGTGCCTCATTGCCAGTCTGCCATGCATCATCTAATTTCCATCAATAGCCATTCGTTCCTTGTATTTTTATTTTTATTTTTTTTCAATTTCAACCACTCTTCTTTTTTAGTTTCTGAAAAAGGTCACCCTACGGGGACCTACATTATTATATTTTTCGTAAAGGTCAACCACCACATGCACCTCTCTCTGTCTCTACTCTCAACCATGACACCACAATAAAATTAAAATTTATTTATCCCAGTAGCTGCTAAGTGTAATTTTCTTCTAATATGCTGTTTGGTTGGATGGATAGGGTTAAAGAAAATGAATGGAGAAAAAGTTTTATAAGCTTTTATTATTTAATTTAATTTTAGGAGGAGAAGAAAATGAAGGAAGCAAATTTTCTCTTCATATTTCTCTTCCAATATTGGGAGGAAAGAAAAGAGAATTTAAAATAATTTTAATACAATATCTAAAATATTTTTGTATTATTTTAATTCAAAATCATGAATGGTACACAGATAAATTAAGGTTAAAATATTTTTGTTTCTACAGTTTAAAATACATTTTTTAGTTCATATATTACTTTTTTTAATCTTTTTAATTTCTATAATTTAAGATAATTTTTTTTAATTTCAGTATTATAATCTTTTTGATTCTTATTGTTAATTTTTTTAACATTGATTGTTTATGTTGTCATTGTAAAAATTTTCAATTTTATGAGGGTAAAAAAATATTTTAATAATGAATTACAAAAGAAATACGAAATATCAAAAAATTTAATTTAAATATGTGAGTATTATAAACTTTAAGGAGGATTTTGTAAAATTAAAATATAAATTTTTGTATAATACAAACAAATAACTATATTATAAATACATCAAAAGTTTTATAAAAAATTGTATACCATTAATATGTTCTAATTAAATTCTTATAAAACTAACAACACATAACTCAATTTCTTTTGTAGGCATTTGCTCTTAACTACTGAGTTGGACTGCACTAGCTATTAGTGGACCAGTCAGTGCTGTGCCACCATAGCATCCTTTTCTCTTCGTTTTCATTTTTCACTACAAATTACAAAACACCACATTATGAGTATGTTGCAATAAATTTTTTAATAAGAACCAAAATTAGTTTATACTTATCTGCTTCATGCGCATGAATTTTGTTCACCTTCCAAGTCATAACCACTGTTTTTATACAAACAAAAGGAAAACAATGTTTGCAGTTGCACCATATTATTCTCCGGCCACTCCTCCGCCGTCGCCGGAACCAGCTCCGCCACCACTCCGCTCCTCGCCGTCACCATCAATGTCTCAGACGCCTCCGGTCACCTCGCCGTTGCCGGAAACTTTACTCCTTCCGGATTCGCCACCACCGTCTTCACTTTCGCCACTTCCTCCGACAATGCCGTTGTTGCCGTCTCCGTCGCCGGAGTCTCTGCCACCGCCGTTTCCACCGTTTTTCGTTACACCGTTGTCTCCGGCTCCAACCGCCGCATCTCCGCCACCGCCGTTTCCATTTGCCACGGCACCTGCAACGACAACGTTTCCACCGTTCGAAGTTACACCATCGCCGCCATCTCCAGCCGCCACTTTTCCACCTACATTGTCAAATGAAATGAATCCGCCACCGCTTCCGGCGGCGGACACGGCGACGGAGACTGTTCCTCCGCCGCCTCTATTAACTGCGTTCACGGAACCTGACTTGGCAACGCCGTCGAGAACACCAAGTGAAAGTTTGCCGGTGGCTGTGGAAGTTCAGAAGCCTTCAACATTCCACGTGTCAAGTGGACTCATCGTTGGGCTTGTAATTGGAGTTATCGTTTTCGTGTTTGTTTTTACCGTTGGATCAGTTCTATGCAGACATAGGAAGAAAAACAAACGCAAGAAGCTGTTTACCCCTCACTATAAGGAACCGTCACCATATGTTGAATCCAAGGGTTAGAAAACCTTATCCTTTTTCTTAAATTTGAGGACATAACTTAACTGTGTTACATATGTTGAGGCTGAACATTGCCTTGTGTTCTATAAAATAAAAAGTAAAAATTGGTGTAATATAATCAAAGTTCTATGCATTTCATGTTTCATTAGATTTGTTGGACAATTACTGACCTGCTTGAACACTACATTATATCATCATCATCAGGGTCTCATGTTATTCGAGTGCAATCAAATCCAACGCCGCCACCACATCTCACTGAGGGTGGTGGAGCTTCTGGTTCTTTTAACTCAGTGTCTGTGAAAGCAATCCCAAACCGTGCTCCAAGGGTTGGCTTTGGTTCCGTGAGTGGTATTTTCACATATGATGAAATATTAGTGGCCACTAATTGTTTCTCTGAGTCAAACCTTCTTGGAGAAGGTGGTTTTGGGTATGTGTACAAAGGAATTCTCCCTTGTGGAAAGGAAATTGCAGTTAAGCAGTTAAAACCAGGGAGCCAACAAGGAGAGAGAGAATTTCAAGCTGAGGTTGAGACCATTAGCCGAGTGCATCACAAACATCTTGTTGAATTGCTAGGATACTGCGTTACCGGGGCAGAGAGATTGCTTGTTTACGAATTTGTTCCAAATAACACGTTGGAATTCCACTTACATGGTATTGGTAAGTCTATAATTTATGGTAGCCTTCACTAGTGGCACTAGTGGTTTTTTGTGACAAAGTTTTTAAGTACCATTGTTTTCTTTTATCTAGAGTGGACAAGTTTTTTTGCGGTTCCATTTTTCAGTTGCATGGTCTTTAAGATGACATAAAAAATGTATTGCAGGGGAGGAGGGCAGCTTCTTAGAATGGACAACGAGAGTTAAAATTGCCTTGGGATCTGCAAAAGGGCTGGCATATCTACACGAAGATTGTGAGAATTCTTCGCTTTTTAATTAGAAACTAATTCACGATTTTCCAGTTAAGATATAGCGTCCTAATCTTTAATTTCTTGATTTTCCTAAAGCCTGTATCTACTAAATTTTTGTTTTCGCATCTCATTACAATGGCAACATAAAAAAAAAAAAAAAAAATTCTCAATAGGATGCCTTGAAGTTACATACTTAACATCTCATATAAATCTACTGTGGTTATGAGTATTAGAAATGTCAATTGATTTTAACTATGATCATCGTGTCTACAGGTAATCCGGCAATTATTCACCGTGATATTAAAGCATCTAATATTCTTCTTGATTTTAAGTTTGAACCCAAGGTAAGTTTCATCTTGTTCACTTAAATATTATACGATGTTGTTACTTTTATACAGTTTTCTACGACTTACTTTTGTTACAATAGGATGTAGAAAATAATACTAACATTTTTTAATATGCTTAATACGAAATGTTTCCTTCAGGAAATCAGAATGCTCGATTTAAATGGAGATGGCTTTTCCCCCTTTTCTATTCGCTGATAGATCTTATTCTTACTGTTTTCTAATATTTTCAACTGATAAGAACAGATAGAACTTTTTATGCCATTACTCATATTGCTTATTACTCTTTTGGATTTCCTTAAAAAAAAGTTCCTGATTTTTCCCAATGCACCATACAGCACATGAAGTTTTCCTATGTAAATAACTGTTGATCTGAGACGTCTATTTATCGATTACTTTGGAAATATATTAATGATGAGCTTCTGTTTGTATTAGGTTTCTGACTTTGGCCTGGCAAAAATCTTCCCTAACACTGACAGTTGCATTAGTCACCTCACCACCCGAGTGATGGGAACCTTTGGGTAAGGCCACTTCTCATCTCACTTCACGTACCATAAGTGCATTACTTGACATTGGCCCTCATCGTTTTCTTGAATAGTAACCTACCCCTAAACATTGACATTTCTTTTAATCCGTCTACGTAAATGAGCATCTCATAGTTTTTAAAGTCAGGTTTGTAGGGTACGTGTTGTCTTAAAATTGACGGTTAATAGCACAGTTACTCAGTTAGCATGTTTCTATACATCTATGTGTGTTGCCAAAGTTGTCTATTGCATATGTCAAGATCAGCTTTAGCCAACTTTAGAATTTCAAAACCAAAAATTTCATTGCAGGTATCTGGCTCCAGAGTATGCATCAAGTGGTAAATTGACAGATAAATCAGATGTATATTCCTACGGTGTCATGCTTTTAGAACTTATAACGGGACGTCCACCAATCACTGCAACAGGATCAAGGAACAAGAGCCTGGTTGACTGGGTGAGTTGACTCAGTTCTTTCCAATAACATATATGATATGACAAGAGTCATCATGTTGGAAAATGCAATTTTGTTTTATAATCAGCTTCGGTGCTCATGTATGTGGATGATTATTAGAATGATAATAAATATTTTACCAACTCAAAGCAATAGTGAATTTTTGGGGGACAAATTTTTCTTGTTGCACACAAGGTCTCTTTTGCTGCTGTGCTGATCCTCAAAATGATCTTGCAATATATTTGTGTATTGGCAAATTGGCACTACAGGCTAGGCCATTGCTTGCTCAAGCACTACAAGATGGTGACTTCAACGATCTTGTTGATCCAAGGTTGCAGCAAAATAATGAAGCTCAGGAAATGGTTAGAATGATTACCTGTGCAGCTGCTTGTGTGCGCCATTCAGCCAGGCTTAGACCTCGTATGAGCCAAGTAATAATATCTCTTTCCTTTTTTTAATTTTCCATCACAACTCATAAGGTGTAAAAGACGAAAAACTTAAGTTAATTTGAACTTTTACTAGACAATTAATTCTTAGTAGCTAGATTTACTTTATCAAGCTATGATAAAACATGGTATGTTTACAAGAAGTACATATGGGGCTCTGATCACAAAGTTCACAATTTGTAACAGATAGTTGGAGCCTTAGAAGGTGTGGTTTCTCTAACCGATCTAGTTGGAGATATTACACCGGGGCATACCACAATATACAATTGGTCAAATAGTTCAGATTATGATGCCAACCAATATCAGCAGGACATGAGAAATTTCAATTTGGCATTATCATGTCAGAAATATTGCTCCAGCGGTTATGGTCTTCACTGATCAGGAGCAAGTAGTGATGTTCACCAATCAGAGGCATATTATAACAGAGGTCAGAGTGAGTGGAATGAGTTGTGAACTCCATTCAGAATTATGGTAATTATGTTCTGCTAAAGATGTAAAGTTCGTATTGTCCAGACTAGAGTGACTAGACGTTCAAATTCTTGATCAGTTTTCAATTTTTTTAACAACTTATTATTAAAAGCTTCTTTTGCTTACTGAATTAGAGATTTCAAAATGTGTGAATTAAAGTAGATTGATTTGCTAAGAATTATAGTACTACTATCATTTTGTCTTTTTTAAAAAAAGTACAACTATCATTTTAATATTTATTATCGTCGTTGTAACTAACTCTTCTTGTCGTCGTTATCTATGTGATGTTTTTATCATTGTTATTGTTATCATTTGTCACTATCATTATTATTATTATCGTTTGTCACTACCACTTTGTTATCACAATTCTTGTTACTATTATTCTCATAATTAAGATAATAATAATTTATTATGATAATTAAATATTGAAAAGGATATTGTAATAAGTTTAAAATTATTTTGTTTGTACTATCTATTATTTACTCAACAATGTATAAAATAAAAATTTGTTGAACATTATTCTTATATTATTTTTCTTTTCTATATTTTAATGTGAATCAAACCTACCCTAGAGTTGATATGATGTGGGTTGATACTTCGAACAGGTCCAAAAACACACCACTGGACCAATAGATTTTAACAAGTTGGAGATTTCCTAACTCAGTGTAAATATAAAGATATTGTTTGGTCAATTAAATATAAAGATTCAGGCCTTACCATACCTCTATAGTCTGGCATTAAGTTGCTACAAACATTAGCACGCAAGTTTTGTTTTTCTTCTTGACTAAAAGCATACATATAAAGTATGAGCCGACATCCTAAGCCCAAAAGTGAAGTTTTAGGCCCAGACAAGATGTTAAGTGAGATGCTGCCAATTTCAATTCTCACAAATAAAAAGATACTTGGGGTCTAATAAAAGAATTAGATAAACATTTGTAATATTTTATCTCTTAATTTTTATTTAATAATAAAAAACATACCAATTTAATTATATTAATTAATTTTAATATTTATTAAATATTATATATTTATTAAATTTAATAATTGTTATTTATTTTAAAATGTGACTTTATATGAATATATATATATATATATTAAATTTTAAATTATACATTTTTAGTTTTAAAATAATCAATTTTATAAAATATATTTTGAATTATAAAATTCAAATATACATTAATATAGTAAAAATAATTAATAAATATTAAAATCAATACAAAAAGTAATTTTGTAACACATTTTCTTTAATTTATGTAATTGTGTATTTTTACTTTACGTCTACGATCTCTTATAGCATCTTTAGTGGGTTGCTTAATGCAATTTTGATGGGTTCCTATACAAGAAAATGATGGATTTGGATTTTTATACTAGAAATGTTGCTTGCATTAGTAATCATCCCTTAATAATTTATTTTATTTTTATCTTAAAAGTTAAAAAAAATTAAGAGTTTTTATTATTGTGTAAAATAAGAAATATAGAAATTGGATTAAATATCTGGTCAACAATGAAATATTTAATAAATTACTTTAATTAATAATTCTTTTTTGACAAATACTTAAATTAATAATTAGATTTGATATATATATATATATATATATATATATATATATATATTACTATTATGCCAATCTTTTAACCGTAAGAATATAATTATATCAACAAAATCTTCAAAATGTATCTATATCTCATTAATTAATTATGATATTTGATACATTTTAATGTTAATGATTCATATTATTAATTTTAATAAAATTATATGTAAAATGTTTTTGAAACATTATTTATAATAAAATATAAATTTATGAAATCTATTTCTTTATATATTAGTATTTTAGTTTGCATATTTTACTGCTAAATATTTATTATATATAATGAAAGTTTATAATAAATCATATAAATAAATATCATATTGAATATATAAATTATATTTAAAATTTTTATAAATAAATATTCTTATATATATATATATATATATTTTTTTTTTTACTCCAATGAAAGTGATTGTTATACATAGGTGCAGCAGCACTGGTGTTAAATAAAGGACTACTTTTTCAAAAAATAAAATAAAATAAAAGTTTTATGAAAATATCTGTCTCTTTTCCTTTTTGTGCCTGCAAATGCAATGACTAGGCTGATGCAGTTTTGACGAAGAAAGAGATTATGAAATCCTACGTGGCATCTTGCAGATTTTTGATTGGTTGAGATAGCTCAAATTACGTGGTGGGTCGGTTTAACAGAGTCAAATTTCATTTCATCTACGGTCACCGTAACCGTAACCCAATTAATTCCATTCATTCATCACAGCACAAAGCAATCAATTCCGTTTGCCACGTCATAAAATCTTCCTTCTCTCTCTGTGTTTCACTCTTCCGGTAAATCTTAAAACCCTAACTCTTCAATTTATTTATTTATATATTTTCATTTCCCCAAATCAATTTCTCTCTCTCTGTTTCTCCGATCTGCTTTGTTGCTGGGGCTGTGTTGTGCCCAACCGGTCCTGCAATTCTCCTTTGCGATTGGAGGTTTCTTTCTTTCTTTTACCGTTTTATCTCTTTTATCGAAATTGATCGGTGGATAATTTCCTATTCTTGTTCTTGCTGTTTATTGATCGCAGTGGAGGCCATTCTCGCAACGTTTGAGTTCAGTAGATCCATAATTTTTCAGGAAAGAGGTTAAGGAGAATGAAGAAAACGGAACGAATTGCGAATTTGGCTTTAGCAGGTTTGCTTCTTGCTTCAGTTCACACTCTTAATTAATTATGAGTGAAACCTTCAAAGTTACTATGGGTTTCACAACGATTCTTCTTGGCATTCTAGTACAATGTAGCTGCTATATCATCGATTTTTCTTATGGATTAATTCTTTTTTGAAATTTGGTTCTGTTCCGAAATACTAGGGTAATGAATTTTGGTGGTCTGTTTTTGTAACTCAATTACTCAATATTGTTATGGCATTTTGTTTGTAATCACAGGTTTAACCTTAGCGCCGCTTGTTGTGAAAGTAGATCCGAATGTAAATGTTATTTTGACTGCTTCCATCACCGTGTTTGTGGGCTGTTACCGTTCTGTCAAACCAACCCCACCAACTGTATGTAGTGACTCTGCTAATTCTCTTTTTCCCATTGCATTTTTCGTGGTTCAATATTTGATTTCTGTGAAGATCTGATTTATGCGAATCCTGTCGCTTATGATTTTGCAGGAGACAATGTCCAATGAACATGCCATGCGTTTTCCCTTTGTTGGGAGTGCGATGTTATTGTCACTTTTCTTACTCTTCAAGTTTCTATCCAAGGACTTGGTGAACACTGTATTGACAGCCTACTTCTTTGTACTCGGGATTGTTGCACTTTCGTATGTTCTTTGATTCATGTCCAATGTGTTTGTCATGTGGTCAATAGAATCATTTCTTAACATATTTGTTATTGTATTAATTATTTTCTCTTCCACTGTCTTCAGGGCAACGTTATTACCGTTTATCAGACGTTTTCTGCCAAAGCATTGGAATGAGGATGTCATAGTCTGGCGATTTCCATTTTTCCGTTGTATGTGACTCCCTGGTTCCGTATTTTTTCTTAATGTTGGTGACAATATTCTTGCTCTGATATGTGGAATTTGTACTAATCATTTCAATTGATTGGTTGAAGACAGCCTTTGGCTATTATTGGCACTGATGGCTGCTTCTAGTTTTGTGATGTACCCAATGAAATATCATAATGTTTGGGTTCCAAGTTTTATGATGTACCCAACAACAATGCATATATTTTCCTTTTTAAACTATCTGCAAGTTTTAACCCTCAATTTTTTGTGCACAACATTAACACATTGTAGGTTCTACTTGCATTCTTGAATGAATTTTGAATTAATTTCTCGAGAAGAGATTAGAAATTCAACCAAGTAGAACACAAAATAATGATAAAGGCATTCATACCTCATTGATCCCACATGGCTTGTCACTATAATTAGAAGGGGAGTTATTTTCTGATCATTATAGAAATGGTTGACTAGTCGGTGGTTCTAAATACGTCCACTAATTATATGATTAACTTCATTTCAAAGTTTGGTTGGTCATGTATGATAACTAATGTCTTTGGCTAATTATTACACCTTACTAGCTATGGTGTTGGTTTTTTTAATACTTTATTTATTATCATGATGATTCGAAGATCCTTTTGTGTTGAATTGTTTGTGTTGTTCTGTTGATATGGTTATCATTAACTTGCTTCTATCATGCAGAATGATATATTTTTCCTTCACTTTTCTTACACAGCTTTGGAGATTGAGTTTACAAGGTCACAGATCGTTGCTGGAATCCCTGGTACTTTTTTCTGTGCCTGGTATGCTTCGCATAAGCATTGGCTGGCAAATAATATATTGGGCCTTGCTTTCTGTATTCAGGTTTGTCTCATTTCATGTATATAATAAATGTGCCTATTTATAAAAAAGTTTTTTTTGTCTATTGAACCAATCAATTGACCATATTTTATATACTAATTTTTTGGTATCAACTTTCTTCATGGTTTGAAGCAATACCTTTTTAGAACCAATCTTATTGCTTCGAAAAGGAATTGAAAAATAAATTTCACCATTCTATCATTTATGCTTATGAATGTCAGCGTAAAATTGTGAATCGATTTTGATTACTAAACAGTTATTGAATCTGATGACTACATATTTATTACTTGCAGGGAATTGAAATGCTTTCTCTTGGGTCTTTCAAGACTGGTGCTATTCTCTTGGTAGGTGTTTTTCTTTCTTCTTTTTTTTTGTAATTATTAATGCTCAAACTTCTCTTTAAGAAAACATTCATACAATCCTTTTTCAATATGGTTTTTGACTCTTACATTCATGTATTTTACAGGCAGGTCTATTTGTATATGACATTTTCTGGGTTTTCTTTACTCCAGTGATGGTTAGCGTCGCAAAATCATTTGATGCTCCAATAAAGGTTAAAATTTTTGCTAAATGAAATGGAAATTTTTGTTTGCTCATCTTTCTGAATTTTAATTGTGTATTTACTGTGATATCAGATAAAATTTTTAATAATTTTCTACCTAATATTGTCATCATTACAATTATTTCGCAGCTTTTGTTCCCCACATCTGATTCTGCAAGGCCGTTTTCAATGCTTGGACTTGGAGATATTGTTATCCCTGGTAGGATAAGTCTTCATTGATATATTGGTGTATTTCTTTTGAGAAATTCTCTGCAAAATACAGTTCAGTTCTTGGTATGTAACTAGCATCAGATTTTGCTTACCTGTGTTTGGAAGTTTTTGAGAAAATGGTATGGAATGGAGAAAGACTAAATTATTGACTCATGAGAAGTGAGTCTGCATTTCACCTTGCTCTCATGTCACAAGTTCAAATTTGTTGGATTACATGATGAAATTGGCTAGACTTGGTGTGGAAAAGCCTGTTTGGAATGATGCAGTAGGGACTTTAATACTAAATAAAATGGAATGAGAGGGGATGAAATGGAAAAGAGTCATGACCCCTTGTTCCTCCTTCTTGAATTATTAAATGAGGGAAGTGAGAGGAAGGTAAATGGTCATGACTCATGAGTGTTGACCTTTTACCTTCAGGCTTCAGGTAAAAGGTCAACACTTGTGGTGTATTTCCCAATACAAGTATCTGCTTTGTTGAGTTGAACTGTTAAATTGTTGAGTTTGTGACTTTATCAGGATCTTTGACAATTTTCAAAATGTTTATGCTGCAGCCACTTGATGTATATGATCCATTCATGTGTGGAATAATTTTTTTCTCTATAATCATTTGGTTGTTACTTCAATATAATTTGATTAATAATTATTTTTTTTTCCTTTAGGTATTTTTGTGGCATTGGCTTTGAGGTATGACGTGTCTAGAGGAAAACAGCCTCAGTATTTCAAAAGTGCATTTCTAGGATACACATTTGGCTTAGTCCTTACAATTATTGTGATGAACTGGTTTCAGGCTGCACAGGTAACGGATTTGTTTCATCTTTCTACTTTTTTGGTAGGTGTGGGGGAATGGTTAGGAGTTGTAGTCAAGTCATTAATGCCAAATATTATTCTAATACATGACTGGCTTAGCTTGTATAACTATCATGGATTTTTGATGATCAACCTGCTCTATTAATTTTACCTATTTAATTGTTTTCCTTTTTTCAGCCTGCTCTTTTGTATATTGTACCTTCTGTAATTGGATTTTTAGCTGCTCATTGCATATGGAATGGTGATGTCAAACAGGTTTGTTTCATTGCTTAGTTTTATTATTCCTCATTTCTCATATCAATGTTAACCATCCTTTTTTATATATATCTAGTTTGCTTTCAAACATTTGTTATAATCGAGTATAATGCTTCTTGTTTTATATTATGAGAAGCAAGTTTGTCAAACTTGAAATTTTACGTAAACTCGTGAAGCTTCTAATGACTCAAGTCGTAGGCTTGATTCGGAAACTTGTAAGAGTTCACTTATTATAAAAATAACATTAAAAAAACTTATTAATGACATATGTATAACATAATATAACTTAATACAACAATAATTCAACATTTCAACCCCATAAAAAGGCAACTGTAATAAACTACAACAATAAAGTGTTATAGTACATTAGTACTGAATAGGACTAAACTACATAAATGATCAAATTATTTACATTTTCATAAGATCATAGTTCCAAAATTGAAATTATTTCAAAAAGGAGTTTATTTCTTCAAATCATTTGAGTCATATTAATATACTAACACTACGGGGTCAATAGGAGCAAAAGTTACATTTGATTTCAAACTCGCTAACTCACTTCCTGACTTGAGAGTTTATAAAAGTTTAAAGAGTTTACTCAGAAAAAAGTTTACTATATAGTTAATTCGTTTTCTCTATTTAGGATCGTAAACTCTTAAAAGAGTTTGCTAGTTAACTTGAGTGTTTGACAACCTTGATGAGAAAAGTGTAAATTTGATTTATGTTGTGTTAAACTCTTTACCCGTCAATAAACAATATGGTGCCTCATGATTATAATATTTCTCTAAAACATACGATAATTTTTCAGGAGGCATGAAATGAGTCATTGACTATTAGACCAAAATTAAACCCTGTAAATATTCATTAACAAGGTCATAAATTCTAATCTTGATATTGTCATTATAAATCTTATTGATGAAAAAATTGACACCAGTGTACCACTAAAAAGTGTATATTTACTAAATTTTAGACTGCTGAAAAATCGTTTTTATATTTGAAGGTGTACCAAATCTGAAATAGATAATTTATAGATTTATATATTATATGTATCCATGTTTTCAAATTAGTTTATGAGGGATTCCAGCAATTCAAAATGAACTTGAGGAAACAGAAGATACATAGATGTAGAAGATGGGCTTCTGTTTAGTACCCTTCTAAAGGCAACCTTGCTTTTTATAAACAGCTTTAAAAGGTTCCTTGCAATATCTTTTGTTTCAATGGAATGACTATCTTTTGGAAGTTATTGGAGATATGATTGTGCTTTTTAAGTAGTTATGTGTAAAGACTTGAAGCCGGCTGGGATTTATGCCTACCAGACCATATATGCTTCCAAAATGTGGTTTAGCAAATTTTAACAGCTTTTCTTACTTTCTATCAATGCAGTTGTTGGAGTTTGATGAGTCAAAGACTGCTAATTCATCTGAAGAGAGTGATGCCAAATCTAGCAAAAAGGTTGAATAAGTTGAAGCATGCCCAATACCCCAATAGTCACAGAAGACATACTGCAATTTTCTAAGAACACCGGTTACTTTTAAAGCTAACTTATTCAGCAGCAACACCCCCTCTGTAACAGATTGTGATTAAAAAAAATGTATTAGTCTTACTTTTCAAGTTGGCATTTTGCTTTTACTGCCTGACTGCCCATTCTGGGTTTCCATAGCAAACTTTCAAGTTAAGGGGCTGTTTGGTATGCCTGTTTTTTGTTTTCATTTTCACTGAAAATGAAAAATGGTGATGAAAATGTGTATGTTTTAACTTTAGAATTTTTTTTTAAATATTTCCACAAAAAAAAAGGTTAAAAATTGAAAATGAAAAAATTTTGATTTCGGTGTTTTCTATGAAAATGAAAATAGAAGATTGAAAATGCGGTGGCACTAAATGTAAATATAATCACTTTCATTCTTCTAAGAAATGAAAAATAATTTTAAAATTCATTCTATTCTCTAGTCAATATTCTGTAGACAGATCCAGCTACTTTAAGTTTATTTCACGTTAATATGTTTGCAACCCAATAATTTTGATGGTGATAAACGTAATTTATGCCGAAAAATGCAGGTTAAATTCCATTTATCTCGTCTTTAATGCAACAATGCCAACTTGTTTGTGTTGCACTATTGCAATGTTCATATTTTAAGCTTTACTCTATTTTTTTTATTTTTACGTTAGTTGAAAGTCAAACTTTGGTATTTAGGTGGTTAATAAAATTTTGATGTGAAAGTGTGATACATTAGATGGTTTATACACCAGGACGTCTTTAGATAGTTTGCATAGGACACTTTTTCATGGCTTAAAACTTTTAGCAGTTAATCGGTATTATCTTATTAAGTTGGTCAGCTACTGAAAATATTTCTCAGCGAAGATTTCCGTTGATACCACTTTTCAGATTCTTTCATTAACATTTCTACTTTCTAGTATGCTTGCTACTGAAAGTTATTTTCAGGTTCGTACTTCTTTTTAGTTTGATTTCCTTTCACAAACCCATTAAAGGATCGAATTGGAAAATTCCTGTCTAGTACTAGCCCAATTCATTGAATCGGTTGTAAATGTCTCCTTTTATAACAATCTTTTTTTTCTTTTTCTGAAGTATCATTACCAACTATTGTCAAAAAACAAAATATCATTACCTACTTTTTTTTTATTAAGCTTAAATATACTATATCTATACCATTATAAATATTTTTTTTCGTAACCACATTTAGTTTCTGCTTTTTCTGAAGATCATTTTTATTAATTTTATATTATCTCACTTAATTTATATACAATGATACCAAATTTTGTTTTACAATTTAAAATCACTATACATCTTATTAACTGATCACTTTTTTCACAGCTATCTTTCATTTCATTTTTATTTTTTATTAAACAAAATCTAATGAGGTAAGAAATATCACTTTTAGTAATTATAAAATGAATTCTTTTATTTAAGTCAACGTATTCTACCCCTTTATATATAAAAAGATTATCATAATTTTAAAATTTTTATTTAGTCTGGAAGCTAACTAGAATTATTAGTAAGCAACAAGTTATTTCAAAAAGAAATAAAATAATAGACATATGAGTACAATTTTTTTAATATTTAAACTGTCTTAGACTCTATTTGGATGAATTTCAGTAAATATTTATCTATAAAAGATGAAAAGGTCATATGATTAAGCTTTGCCTTCTTGTTTTGTTAAACTAAATCCAATATATTGACTCTTCTTTTGTATCATTTATTCTCTCTTTTTTTATTATTATTAAAATACATCGTTCAACTAAACCAAACACATGACCAATAATTAGACACAACAAATTTAAAATAGTGGATTACAAGTATAAGACAAATGTCAACTACTGGGGAAAAAAATATTAACTATTGTTATTGATGTACCTTTATCACAATTTTTAATATATCTCTGACATTATTTTTCTTAATACTTTTCATTTATTTCTTAATTAGTATCTCAAAGATACTACCACAAGTATAAGACATGATTTTTCTTAATACTTTTAACAGCATCCTAACTATAAATATCTGTGGAATCAGCAGCACATGTTAAAGTTACATTTCTTTTTTCATATTTCAATCAGTTGCGATGATGAATACTGAAGTAGCAATAATTTAGTAGACGCGTCAGCAGATTATTATAATGTAAATCTCGAGGACGCAACAAAGGTAGTATTAAATTTAATATTTCCAATTAGCTAGTGCTGGTGTCAATTTTATCATGACACTTAAGAAATAAAATGTGCTGAATGCTAAAAATGTTTCATCATATAATAATAATAATGTTTAGATAACGAGTATTTTTAGAATATTAGTTAAAAAAATATTATTATTTTTTAAAAAAATACTAGCATAAAGAGGAATAAAGGGACTCTTTTTTATTTCGTGAATAAAAATATTGTGTATATATAAATTCATGTTTATTATCTTATTCAAATGATGTAAAATTTTGATAATATTTCAATAATTATCTTTTTAAACAAATGACTATCATATTCATCGAATTAGTCATTTGGTCAAACAAATGACTCTAATCATTTATTGGAAAGAATTCACATACATGTTTTTATATTAGTAAGATATTATCTACTTTGAATATAAGTTTTTGCTTTTAATTATCACCCAAGAGAGGTTTTTATCAATGAGAACAAATGTATGTTTATAAGCTCATATTCGAATGTTGTTTTCAAGATATCGGACATTGATTATATCCTAATTAATCATACTTTAAATATTTGTATTATCGTTCCATCATTAACATAAGAAGTCTCAAATCCACCTATCGAATCCCTCATACTCGTCTAGTCAATCACACCATTTAATCTAATATCACTTGTTGTGCACCAGAGATTATCATACACGTGTGTCTCTATATTGTTAAGATATTATTAACTTTAAACCTAAGTCATAATTTCATTTTTGATCATCTCTCAAAAGGTCTTCTGCAATTGAAACATTGTAGATATATAAATTCATATCTATTCTCTTATTCAAATTATGTGAAACCTTAATTATATCCCAACAATTATTAAAAATAGATTATTCAAAAATTAAGATATTCACAGCCTTTTTAATTTGGAGATTAAGACATTCACTACTATTTTTTCCTTTTTAGTAGAGAGACTTTTACTATTTTTACCATCTCGATTAGGCATTCCCAACATTATCTTTATTTTATCATTTTCATGCATTTCATTCATCACTCCTGGTCTCCCACAATTAGTTAAATAATTTACATGCATTTCATACATCATCTCAAACTATCCTTCATTTTGGTTTAAATCTTGATTGTCTATTTTCTAATCTATCATTTTTAAATTTTTATATCTAAATTGAATTTTAATAATTTTTAAAGAAATTATCAGTAAGTAAAAAAAAATATTACAATTTTATTAGTTTATTATAAATATAAGTATATATTTATATTGATTTTATTTATTGCAAATTTGAATTTTATATATATATATATATATTTATCTTATCTTATCTGATATATATTAACTAAATTGATTTTTTAAAATACCAAGTGAAATGACATCAAATTTTCAATATTAAGTATTCTCTAGAAAAGCCAATAATTACACGTAAGTCCTCACTTTTCAAATTTAACAAACAAATTCAGAACAGCTGATGGGCCACTTGTTATTTAGAGATTTTCCTCTTGCAATTGCATATAAAGTACAAATGGCAAGTAGGCTACAACACATTCACATTATTTTTTTTTCCCTTGGTGTGTTAGTGAGCGTCTTGCATTTTTTAACGAGGGCAATGAATATGTTTAATACTAACACACATTTACACATCATGGAGAAAAAAATTAAAGTTTTTTTTATTATTAAATACGGTGTCAAATTATGTTTATGTGATTATTTTTTATTTATTTATCAGAGTTATAATGAAAATTTCATAATCCAAACTTAAAACTTTATGCATACTATTTCTAACCTCTCAGCATTAAGTAGTGCCCAGAGTATAAATAAAATTATTGTGAAAAATATATATTAAATAAACATTAAGATGATTAATAATTTGTTTTAGAACTAAATATTAAATGATATTAAAAACAAAATATCGCAAAATAGTATAATTAAAAATATCACCTTATTTAAAAAATGAAAATTTAAATTTATATTATAGCGATTAATTTAGAATCTTACTGCTGATAGTACATGGCTTACTGGTAACAGATTCATAAATTTTATATTATGAAAACCATACTCGCATAAACTTATAAGAACAATACTTATATTATGTATTATTTCTTCACTGCATTTCAAATTTTAAAACCAATTTATAATTTTATGTGTAAGTTATATTAAGAAAAGTTTAAAATTTGTCGGATGTAGATCCATTTCTGCTTACATGTGAAAATAAAGTAAATAAATAGCATATACAGCAGAGACATTCCCCCGAGTAGTTTAAAGGAATAAGCATGTGAATCGTTTTCTGTTTAAATTAATGTTTTAAAATTCAGATGGCATCATTTATTAGTTTAATTGGTCATACAATGCTATTCAATTGGTTTTCTTTTTTCAATTCTTATTCTTCTTATTATTATATTGATTATTGATCGGTTTAACATATAAAAAAATCTAATTTGTTCTATTCCATGTGTTTTTGTTTCTTTTCATCCCGTGAGATAAACAGATACAAAAAGGAAAGTCATGAGGAGCACTTGATTGCTTTGAGTTCATAGCATCCTTTGATTGATATGTAATTGACTCTACTTATAATAGAAAAGGGCTTAGTTGCAATATTGTATTCATCAAGCTTCCACACTGATGAATTGGGTACCGGAAGTTGCTCTTGTAGACGGTAATATATTATTTTCCCTTCGAATCATATGAAAAATATTAATTTTATTTGTTGTTTTGGATTGGAATTAAAGTCAATTCAGTGGAGAGGCTATATTTTGAACTAGTCTAAGTTGCTAAGTATTGACTGTGTAATATCCTAAATTTCAGGAACAATATTTTCAATATTATTATTATTCCATGTGTAATTAATTTTTTTTTTATATATATATAATATATAAACACTAGTATTTTATTTTTATCTTAGAATTAGAAAACCAAAAATATATATATATATATACATATAAGTTATTTAGTTATGTTATAAATATTTATAATATTAGCTAAAAAGAAGAATTTATTATAAATTTGAATGATGATATGAACAAATAAAATAAAATGGCTTAGTGGGTAGGACATGTGACTATCATTTAAGGGAACCAGGGTTCGAATCCTACAAATTTGCATTTGGTTTT